GTACCAATGGATACCAGATACACAGCGCTGGATAAAAAGGTTGAGAGATAACATCAGGAAAGTTTCCCACCAAAGCCTGCTAATAGTGTGCTCGCTGATTAGAAAGCACTTCTGTAGTTTGGAAACTCTAATCCAGTCTTATCAACCCTCTGGCTTCATTTATCAGGGTGGGAATGGGAGGTGCATCAGCTTTGCCACAGAGTGATTTCTGGGGCCCCTTGCCCACGACGAAGCAGATCAAAAGGGAGCTCATGCCTGCCAGAGTGAAGTTTTCACCATAGCAACACACGTTCCTCTACAAACAGTCAGGACTGAGGCACTCTGTTGCGACCCGTCTGGACAGTGCCCCCAAGAAACGAGCAAGTGAGGGTTCAGACAACAGAGAGAGCAAGAGAAAAGTGGCCCTTATTTAGCTTGCGAGGCAGCCTCCTCATGGTTTTTCCTCCACACAGCTGACAGTGGCCACACTAAGGCCCTCCAGCATCCACAGCCCAAGTTCTAATAAGATGGATGGCAGAGAAAACAGATGTGGAGCAGTCAAACCACAGGCCCGCTGGGGAAAAGAGGGACCCAGTGTATAACAACCGCACCCTTCGGAAAGCAGAAGGCTAGCACAGGAGAGCTTAGGGTCACAAACTTACTAATTAGTCAATGCCACCTTTCTGATGGTACATTCTACCTAGGGAAGAAATAGGGATAACCAATGTGCCTTATATCCCATAGGATAGGGTGACACTTGAGGGTTGACCACGAGAGAAACTAGTTCCAAAGTTCTGCTCTGTTGCTCAGATCTCTGAGTGATGCGTGTAGCAATCTAACCACAGAACAAGGGCACCCAAGAGAATCAGTGACCCTTCCCGGTTTCCCCTGACTAATTTCTCTAGAACATTACTGATGGACTATGTCAGAGGCTCGAGAGGAAGATGCATAAAGCCAGGAACCATAAAAGCTGGCAAAGGAACGTCTTTAAAAGCTCATCAGAAGTTAGTGAAAGAAAGGCAACATATGTCCACGTCTGTGCCACTTACATTCCTTTTCGAATTAACACAATATAAGCGGGACTGTTTTGTAACACGAACATTAAGAGACAGGACCGGCAGCCTCACTTCGGGTTATGAAGCCCAGAGGCATGTCTGGGAGGATGTGAACCGGTGCCACAGATCCCACGTGCTAAAAGGCGTGACGCAATGGGCTCCCACTGTACACGCTGCAAACACATCATCCCACAAGTCAGTCTGGTACAGGGGAGAAGGTGGTTCCTGGAGAAAGGCAGCTCTACCACACCTGGCTCCAAAACAAAAACCCCAGCCACTACCCAAAAAATTCCTCTCGGTCCCAAACCCTTAAGTCATCACAGACCAAACAAATGATGGGCCCAGAATTTTAGAAACGTTTCCTTGCTGCAGAGCCAGCAGAGCCTGCAAATAAGCTTTAAAATAAACAAACAACGTGTTGGTCTCGAAAGGACATTTTTGAGGTAACGTATAAGTTGTTTTCTCTGTTCCATGCACCCCCTTTTTCTCATTCTCTGTTCACTGATGAGAGTTTTCCCCCTTTCCCTGCCTACTTCAGTGTGAAACGTGGCACAGAAAGGGACACTGGAAAGTGAAGGGAAAGGGGGTGGGGGGAGACACTGCTTTTAAATCTGACATACACACCATACACACCCAAACTGGCCTCCCACACAGTGAAGGGCTATCAGGCCGGACTCCCTCTAAGACAGGGCTGAAGGCCCAAACTGTCCAGTAGAAAACTCCCCTTGCACCACCTCTCGGGAAAGCAGAGTTAAGAAAGAGAAAGCTGGAAGGGAAGGAGGGGGGAAATAAAGCTCCACATTCCTGACATTTTTTAGCCAAGTGCTGTGGCTGCACAGAACAGCTCTATTCCAAACAGCCTGCAGGACAGAAAGAAAACCTGAATTCTGGGGAAAGAACCTGCCCCCTGCCTTGGAAATGGGAGGAATCTTAGGATGACCCAAAACTAAATCAAAGGAGGAAGGAGAGTCACCCTTTCATGTAAGTTCCCAAAAGGGAAGGAATCTGGAGTCATCATCTCCCAGAGGACAGAACTGAAGTCCTGGAGTCCTAAGGGGGGAATGAAAGCCCCTCTGAATGATGGGGAGCTGACTAGTGAGCTGGGGAAGGAGCAAGGCAGGAATAAGATGGAGATCAGTTAGGATACATGGGCTGGGGCTGCCTGGGGTGGGGAGAGGGGCCCAGCTCACTGGCAGGACTGGGCAGGGGACCCCAGGAGGAGGAGTGGCCAGTAGACTGACTCTTTGTGGGAAAAATTATAAATGAGTTTTCTTGACTCAGCTCCTGGATGAAGGAATCCTGGCCATGCCCAAGTTAGCAACCCAAAGAGCCTGCTGTCCTCTCTCCTTGTCTCCCCCATCCCTTTCCACCTCCTTCTGTCCTCACTCCTAGGAAAGAACGTCATATGCTGGACTTACGCCACCTCCTCCCATATGCATCCCTACATACAGACACACACACACCACACCTCCAGGGGAGAGCCCAGAAGACCCTAAGTGCCATCTAGTAAGTCCTGTGATGGGTTATGACGTACCACCCCCGGCTTTGTTCCAAATGTGAAGATGCCCACATGTGTTTCTCTGAGGTCCCTGAAAGTAACTGAGCTGTTTCTGCTCTCATCTGGTAGGGAGAGCAGAGTGCCAAATATCTGAGTTTCCGCAGTTGGTGGGTATAGACAATGAGGATCTACTACCATGTCCCTGGCACAGCAGAACACACATCCTCCAGCACAGCGCTCCTCCCAGACCAGCACAGCGCTCCTCCCAGACCAGCACACACCAGCAATCCCACAATGCACCTTCTATGCTCCTTCCAGAGAAGGAGACTCCTGCCCTCTGGGCCCAGAGGTGTAGGTCTAAGGTACTACAGGGTGAGCATGGTACGAAGCCAAGGTCCTTTCCACACTCCCCAGTACAATCCCAAGAGCGGGAGGAGGGGAGTTTTTCTGTTGTTTTTTCTCTTCTGTCAGGTACCGGGAGTAAGGGTTCCTAGCACTTTTCAACTCCCAGAGTGCCAGGTTTAATGCACAGGACTTTCCAAAACTAGAGGGCAGGGACAGCAGGAGGTACCAAGCTCCAACACCAGGCAGCTCTTTCTGAGCTAAGATAAAGCAGGTAGAGCCACGGACCTTAACAAATGCCAGAAACACAGGCAAGGGGGTATGAGGAGACTTCGCCAGCTGCAGAGCGTGCTGCTCTGAGGTCTACAGCTGTCACGTGTGTCTTTCCAACCACACCCTTCAAGACTGTTGACACGGCACTGGGAGGCCTCTTAGAATGGAGGACAGCAAACAGATACAAATAGGACAGGGGGTATTGGCTGGACAAAATAAATTCTCTCTTATTTCGTTAAGCTATTATTATGATAAATAATAACAGGGCTTTGGGGAGCAAGCGACTTGTTTTCACATTTGTAGAATCCCCTATGGCTTTTGTTGCTTGCATGATCTCAGTTAAACCTTACAATAACCCCATGAGGAAGAGAGGTTTGACTAACCTCTTTTAAGATGGGGAAACTGAGGCCACAATCAGTTTTTAGTCAGTTTAGAGAAAAAGCAGGGCCTGGGACACAGGGACGACCCTAGTAGATACAGCCCTTTCCAATAAACCATGAGAGCTATGGGCGTGGGGGAGGGAGGGATTGAAGTAAAGGAGCTTTACTAAAAGCCGGTGTGCAGACCCCAACCCTAGTCTCAGGTTTATTTCCTACAGACCCTCCAGGGGCACATTCACACATCTAATCCTGACTCAGCCACCATAAGAATGTCCCCAGCTTGAGGGCAGCCTCACTGGCCAATCAGGACCCTTGTCAACTTAGAGGGGAGAGGAGGAGACAGGGAGACCGAGGGAGAAATTAGCCCAGCTAGGAATCCTCCATCTCCAAGGCAGTTTACAAATGGTTACAGCTTCCTAACCCTTTCCTGAGAATGCAGATAAGCAACCTTACCCAGAACGAAGGACAAGGCGCTGCCTCACTGGAGACCACAGTGAGAGTGAGGGGAGTGTCACTAGATAGTGACAAGATATATCACAGCATGCTCACTTTCCTCCAGTTCTCCTCACTTTCGAATATCACGTTTTTCTCGTTCTCTTAGGTGGAGAGAATCCTTCCCACCAGACCCCCTGGATCCTGACCCGGTGGGGCTTACTACAAGTCCCTGCTCTGTTGTGAGGCTTGTACCAGCGCCTTGCTTCGGTGGAGTGAGGGGCGGGGGGCAGTGGTAGGACCCCATCCTCTCCCCCCTACTCCCACAGCTATGAGAGAATCACCTTGCCCCTAAAAGCACCGGGTATCCCGTCCCTCTCCTCGGCCCCGTAACAGGGAGAAGCTCTGGGTTCCCCACAGATGGAGCTGAGGGAATAATCCAGAGTGATAATGAGTATATGATAATTGGCCATTTAGGCAAGGGCAAAAAAAGGGGGAAGGTGGGCAGGAGGACAGCACATGGGCACTGCCGGGATGAGGCCACCGCCACACGTGAAGATGCAAAAGACCCAGAAAACCAGGTGGGAGGTGAAAAGGGTCGGGGTCCCTCCCACTGGAAAAGCCCAGAAGAGCTGGCAGGCGCTGCTTGGGAGAGGGAGTTAGTTGTGCAATGCCTCCGGGTCTGGGAGTCTCCGGGCTTGGCTCCCGGACACCAGAAAGGAAACCCCACTGTTTGGGCCAGGGTGGCAGCACTGCGGTTGGTTCGAGGCCAGGCTTAGGATTCAGGGCTGCAGAGAGCGCTGCAGGATATGGTGGGCGCCTAAGGGGGCGGCCGAGCAGGGCACGGCTGGCGAGGCGCGGAGCTGGGGGAGGGGGGGTCTGGGCTGACTCGGAGACCAAGCGGGGTACGGTGTACAAAGCCGGGGGTGCAGACAACGTGCTGGCAGCCCGGCGCCCCAGCTCTGACGAGGACCCCGGGGACCTGCAGGGGTCCGCCGGGCGGCGCACGGGAAGGGGCACCCCCTCCCCGGTCTCGCTCACCTCGAACATAAGCCCTATGAGGACGCAGAGCACCAGGCAGAAGCCGATGTCCGCGTGGTTGTGGATGACGAACTCCTGGCTGAAGAGCGGGTAACTTTTCGTCCTCCTGCGGAAAGCCATGGCAGCGGGCGCGCCGCGGCCGGCGGGGCCCGCACCC